TGTGTGTGTGTGTGTGTGTGTGTGTGTGTATTCATGGCACACTCTGAATGCAGTCTTCCCGTGTGGTGATGCCTGGATGCGTATGTTCGTGTGTTCTTGCGTGTATAGATTATGTGATGCATTTTGATGTGTAAGTATAATTGTTCATATATATACGTCAGGACCATTCCGGCACGACAGAACAATCGCCACTTACCACAAAGGTTTTGTTCGACTGCACAACCAGACCAAGTTCACAACCACACGTTATCACACACAATCACAAATGACCAAGCGATACATCGCCTGGCCGTCAGAGTACGATGAGTCATGGTACTTGCAATTGATTCCGAAAACACAGTCCAAGGGGTGTCCATGTATGGAATAGATTAACGGCAAGGCCTACCTATGACACTTCCTATTCGCCCCACAACCTCTTCGCTGTAAACCAGCGCCATGTGGCCCGCTGCAACGAGGAAAATTAGAAATGTGTACGAGAATTAGGAATTGCGGTGAACCAAAAAGGTCACAAATGCAAAAAACAAAAAACAAAAAAAAGGGATTCTGGTGCTGTGTCACACAGATATAACAATAAAGTATGGATTTCAAGGGGCGGTGGGTTAATGAAGCAAACTAGGAATAGGTGAAGCAAATGGTAACAGTACGCCGTGGATATGTGAAACTGAAACCTTGTGGTGCACCGAACACAAACACAGTTGCAAGCAAAAGTGCGTCCAATACGATTGTAATAAAACATTGCTTGCAGGGGAATGTGAGGAAGTAAATCAGTACTGTTGATGAACCGAATGGCAACAGATGGCAAGAAATTTGGAATTCCAGCTGGTAGCGTGCTGGTAGCGTGAAAAACTTAAAGGTTATCGAGTATAGTTACGGGTTCCATGTATAGATATCGCAGCGATAGATACATATCAAATAGAAACGTTTATGTGACAGTAACGTCTGAGCTCAATCACAATATGGTAAATACACCGTGAGGGTAACAATGGAACGCAATCACACTATGTATGTGACTATACCTATGGGACTTAAAACAAGTCATGCGGCGTACACGAATGTGTACCACTCAATGACGTGGCACACAGGATGTTGTGTACTTCAGAATGACTCAACTACTCCACATGCAGGACACAGTTCGGAGTGGACTATGAAACTAGTCAACTTACTTGAAAATGAGCGGACATGTATATACTTGAGTTTCACTGAATGCGGTTATAGCGAACATATATATACCTGAATTGCACATAAATGGGGCTATATTTCAAATCGTAATCTCAATACTATCTGCACACAGCAAGCAGTGTGCATTCATAACATACATTCGCCCGTCAGGAAGTCATTCATCATACTGAACAGCGCGTACTTCTCTGACACTTGCTGTAGGGGCTTGAGTTCCACCTGTGAGAGAGGTGTTGCGTCATCGGGGTCTAGTAGAGAGAGATCTTTGATCATCATACATCCCGTAATGTCCTGAATATTGTCCCGATATACAGGAATGCGACTGTGGCCCATGGAGTAGATCTCACGGATCTTGTTCATGTCCAGTACGTCGTTGTTGGAGATGCTGCAGGAAATGTCATTGGGAATGAGTAGGAACAGATACTCGGAATAAAGTTTTATAAATAGACTTTGCTTGTTCAAGTCCAGTACGCTTA